TTTGTTCATTTGGGGTTTGGGGGGTAGTTTTTTTTTGTATGCTCCTTTCTCTAGCATGAGTTGGTCTGCAACTGATTTCTCTCTGTCTTTGTGGCTGAGCCTGCCCTAGCTCAGCAAATATTCTTTTAGGGGAAAATAGCTGTTGGATGATCCTGTAGATTCTAATCCATCCATGCTGACAAACAGGGGTGTAAAAAATTCTGTTCTTTCCCTTTATTTTCCTATGATAGCCTGTGCTCAGACTCAGCAAATGCTGCCAGGTGAGAAGACAGCTGGCACTTTTAGCTTCTCTTTAAACTTATTTCATTCAGACTTATATGCTTTTAGAGCTCACCAATATCTTTAAAAATATTACTTTTGTAATCTTTCTGGTTTTGAGTTGTGAGAGCTTTCTGCTGCTACCACATCACAGTCAGAAGCAGAAGTGTTCATGTCTCTAATAATTTTGTAAATCTTAATGTCATTAAAAAAGAATAAAAGAAAAATATCCTAAAGCATTATTCCAGGTAAAAAAATTTTCCTGGTGGAGCATAACTGATTTTTACAGGCAGCTGAAAGGCAAATAGGATTCACTTAAAAGAAATTCACTGTATAGCACACGTAGATGAGGTATATCAATTCCACGAGTAATGTGAAACAGATTTCTAGCCTTCACCCATTCCCATTTTCCCTCTTTCCTGAGCCACAGAGTAGAACCATGGTTCCAGCCGTCATGTAGGGCCATGTGCCAGTGTGTGACCCGTGGGCTAGGAGCGCGAATAACGTGTGTCACTTTCAGGAAGAGCCATATAAGAATGAGTAAGATTTCTGCCCTGGCCGGTATAGCTCAGTGGATTGAGTGTGGGCCTGTGAACCGGAGGATTGCAGTTCGATTCCCAGTCAGAGCATGTGCCTGGGTTGCAGGCCAGTTCCCAGTGGGGGACCATACATTGATATTTCTCTCCCTCTCTCCTTCCCCTCTAAAGATAAATAAATAAAAATAAAAATAAAAGAATGAGTATAATTTCTTTACACATTCCTTTTCATGGAACCAAGGAGGTCATATGTTTAGAAGTGGAACCATTCACCCTCGTTGCCTAAGCCACTGATGGGAAAGGGAGCCCCTCTGGAGAGATGCAGGGCTCAAACCTAAAACTGTTGTATAGACTACTAGATATTATAGGCAATGGTTATCATAATAAAATCACTTCTGAAGGAAGGTCAGTGAAGCATATCCTTTAATTACATGGTACAGAATTACAGGAATCTTTTTTTCTTTTTCATTTCACCCTTGAAGCTTATACATTTTTTAAAAAACGATATTTCTTCTGTATTAAGCTGTATCATACCTTCAACTTGAGGTAATTGTAGTAATACCATCTAGCATATTAACAGTAGGGACTTCCCAGTCTCAGTGAATTAAAGCTATGTTTAAAGAGGGCAGCAAATTTTAGCCTTTAGTGTTTTCTTTTCTTGTCTATCATGCCATACCCTTGAGCCGAGGGCACTACACTCAAACCTCTCCTTTTCAGAGTGATCTCTCTTTCCCTCTCCAGCTCCTCCCACCCACGTTCAAACCTACTTGAACCTACTAGAAAACCTGTTACAAAGACCTATGTTGTAAGCTGTTTTTGCCTAATAGTAGCTCAATACAGTATCTTCTCGGGTGGCCTGAATTTTAATTAGAAAAATATGTGTTATAGTTGTACCCATCAACTTGACTGAGCCACAAGTTGCTCAGATAATTGTTTAAGTAGTATTCTGGGTGTTTCTGTGAAGATGTTTTTGTATGGGATGAACATTTAAAGCATTAGACTGAGCAGAGCAAATTGCCCTCCCCGATGTGGCAGGGCCTCATCCAATCAGTTGAAGGCCCAAGTAAGTCAAAAAGGCTGACTCCCCAGAGTCAGTGAGAATCCCCTCTGCCCGACTACCTGAATGCCGGGAACTTGTTGTTTTTGTCCTTGCCTTAAAACTGCAACTGAAATATCAGCTCTTCCCGGGTCTCAGGCCTCCTGAGGTCTGGAGCGGAACCACACCATGGGCTCTCCAGCTTGCTGATGACAAATTCGGGGATTTGTCTCCACAGCTGCGATCTCTCTGTGGCCCTGTTGGCTCTGTTCTCTGGAGAACCTGGACTAATACACTATCCCATGACATTAGAACTATAGCCCGTATGTGAACATCACACTTTTCAGGAGTCTAGAGAGTTGACAGTTATCCCATCCCCAACAATGGATGAAAAGAAATTTCCAAGCAGAAGCAATGGCAAAAAAGCCAATATATACTAACAAAGCAAATTATTGAAGGCTAAACATGGTTGGTATGCCTACTGACCATAAGTAAAGAAATGTTGAAGCAATTGCAGAAAGTGGAGAGAAATGGGACCAGGAAGAAGGAAAAAGAAAAAAAAGAGTGGAGACAAAAGAGCTAGCCAGGAAAGGCCACAGACTGCAGAAGTGACAGAGATGAAATATAGCAGTGCTCAATCTGCGGGCCTCCTGAGGGGAGAAAGAATTTCGGGGAAACCTGGGGAACGGAGAAGCACAACTTGCAACTTGAGCAAATAAGATGTCTGGAGCTGATGATGTCTAGTTAACTTACATCCACCCCGGGCATTGATGAATATTTTGATTAAACTTATAATGAATATTTGGAGTTATTAAGATAACATTCTTGGGTGGATTTTTATTTTGGCATCTATAACATAGTACTGTCATTAATACTACTCCATTCTCTATTTCTATGTTACAAACCACCCAAAATATAGTGATTTAAAACAATGATGCATTGTCCTCACAATTCTGCAGGCTGTCAGTCTGAGAGACTTTTCTGCTGGATTCATCTGGGATCAATCATATGGCTGTAGCCATCTGACACCCCTACTCAAGGGCAAAACAGCCTCAGTCACATGGCTGGGACCCTAACATTGGCAAGGCATCTTGGCTCTCCCCATGAAGCCTTTCATCCTCCAGTAAGACTGGCTTTTTCCCAACACCATGTTCTCAAGGTTTCAGGTGAATAAACCTCAATATGTGGTAGATATCAAGCCTAGGCTTCTGTCATGCTTGCTGATGTGCTTTTGGACAAAGCAAGTCATATGAACAAATCCAGAGTCAATGGGGGAGGGTCCACATCCAGGCAAGAATACCAGAAGGCTGATTTATCCTAAGAATCCACCACATCCACTGTGAACTTAAGAATTTGGAGTATCAGTAGCATTCCCATTACTGAGTACTTGCCTGGCAATCATAGTGCATAATTCACATCTGAGCAGCAGTACTCCCTAGTGGGAATTTTAAACATTTTAGACAATATTTTGGGTGTTCTAGTAAAATATAGACCGAGCATGCACTTTTGAAATGTATATTGTTTTATTATTAATTCTGTACCTTGTATTTCTCCTTTATATTGTAGTTTGAGTATTATGTTGATTTTTAAAAATACTAGGTGTGCCATAAGTTATATAACCCAGGAATTTTTCTCTCAGTATAGTAAGTAGCTACATTACAAAACATTTGTTACAACACGGCAGTGTTTCGGGCTTGATATTTGGGAAATTAATGAGCTAAGTTCAAGTGTTTAAGGGCAGTCTTCCGTTATTTGTGAACTATTCTAGCCCAGATGAAGTGTCACTAAACTACACTTTAAGTTGTTATTGTTATTTTGATCTGTGTGTTAAGAATGTGGGGCAGGAAGGGCAGAGGGGGTCATTCACGGTTCAGGAGGCAGTGAAAAATCACTAAACGTCCGTACCTTACTCCGCCAGACCCAACGCTTCTCCAGACCCCCAAACTCCTTCCGCCCCCCTCCATGGCACGGCCAATTTGCACACATTGTTTGAATTGTTAACTTAAACAATACACGCGGGATTTTTTCCCTAGCTTCAGCGTGTAACCGAACAGCACACTGTGCAATTCCTGTGCCCAGCAGCTGGAGGGTAAGAGAGGCTGCACTGGACACACAGTAGGAGCATTGTAAACGTTGACTGACCCAGCTCCTTACGGCGGCTGACCCGAAGCCACCCACTCTCCAGACGGTGTCCTTGTCTCTCTCCAGGTCCCACACCCCTGGCGAGAGCGGCCGTGAGCTCTCAGCAGACGGCGAGTCCCGGATGCCAGGTGTGCCGCACGGCCGGCGCGTCTGAGGCGCAGAGTTCTTTGGTCCCCGGTCCACCCCAGCCCTCCCCGCCCCTCCCAGGAGCTCTGCGCCACACGTGGTGTGGGCCGTGGAGGGATCCCGGGAGCGGAGGGCTGGGAGGACGGCGATCGGGATGCCCGCCCTGCGCCCGCCTCTTTTCTCCTCAGCTCCGCGTCACCTGGCAGTCCGTGCAACCTCTGAGTCCTCCCACCTCCTTCTTCGCAATCATGCGCCTTTCTTCCTCCCTCTCCCCCCATCCTCTCTTTCCTTATCTGACATTTTGCTCTGCTTCCCCTGCCCACTCCCCAGCGAGTTTTCCTCCCCGCAGACGCGCCATCCCAGCCCGCCCTCGCACACCCTCCAATTGTAGGTCAACTCGTGTGCAAACGTGGGCTTAGGTTTTCTCGTTTAAGGGCTTTTCCAGAAGTGAAATCGGGCTCATTCCCCACCGTGCTCCGACTGTAATCCCTTCTACTTGGCTGTTCAGTTGGGGGTGGGGATTGTGTGGGGTGTGCTCGCATCCACACCGCAGTTGGAATCCCGGGGATGGTTTCGGGACACCCCGGGGTGAGGTAGCTATAGCCACATGCAGACGCTTGCAGAAAGGCAGAGACGCGAATACTTGGGGGCACTGAGAGCCGAACCCCTACACGAAGCTTAGCTCCAAAGAACCACGCCTGGGGCGCAGGCGCTACCAGTTATTTACCTGCCGTAAGCTCCCTCTTTCAGGCCGAAACGAGGGTCGAATCACTTGGAGCACTGATACTCCCCTTGGCAAGGGCCCCTGGCACCTTAGGGCGCCTCCACGACTCTCGCGGACCCTGATATTTCCCGCCCCACCTTGCCTTTCCCGCGCGAGTGTGGGGCGAGGGAGGGCTTACCCTGATGAAGCTCCTGGGGAGGGGACGCTTGAGGATGAGGGTGACACGAATTGTCGATTTCCCTCCCCCCATGGCTTTTTTTCTGCCCTCGCTGGACGTGCACACACGCCCCACTCTGCCCTCCGGAAATAGCCCCAGGCAGCCGCACTCTCAGTGGGGCCTCAGCCTTAGGGGAGCTGGGGGAGGGTGCCCAGCTGGGGTCCAAATGTCGAAAGGTGGACGGAACGCAGGGGCCCAGACGCGCAGCGCTCGGAGCGCATGTAGGCGTCCAGAGCGCAGGCTGTGGGCACAGAGAGAGAAAGGGACCAAGTGGCTGGCAGTTCCAGTCAGTGACGGAACTGGGCTCCATAGCTCAGAGCTAAACTGGTTCTCGGGGTGGGGTGGGGGGGATGGAGGAGCCCAGCGCCCCGGGAATGACGCCCCCACCCCCGCACCCCCCCCCCGCCAGCTAGCCGTGGTCAGTTGCAAGCTCAAAGGGGGGATAAGAGCTCGAGACGGCCCGGGGGTGTCTTCCCTCGGGCTGCTGTGTGGGCGTGCATGTGTGTGTCTTCAGCTCCTTCCACGGTTGTAAAGCCTAAACGGAAGACGCGTGTTAAAGTCTGCGGACAGGATCGCTTGAAACATGTTTACAGTAGGAACGACTTTCCTCCAAAAAGCACAGCCTGAGTCGACTCCAATTTTTTTCCTCCGTATAACAAATCGAAAGGCGAGCGGAGGCCTTCGAGGCAGGACCAGGATGAACACCGTTAATCCTGCCGAACCCTCTCCGAGCTCCGGGCAGAAGGAGCGGGGCCTGCGCCACAGGGTCACTGCGCTCGCCCAGGCGTCCTGGCCCAGGGAACCATGTTTTCAGGAGGAGTGGCCTTTGCTTGTCCTGAAGTAATTGCACGCTGCTTCTCTGCACCGCTCTCAGAAACGGAAATCTGCCGGCAGAGAAAACGTGTTCTAACTCTGCAATATACAGAGGCGGTAATTGACCATCCCCGGGGTTCAGTCACTAGATCCAAACGGGAGCTGCCCTGGTTTCCCCAGTCTCGGGAAGCTTCTGACAAGTGAACAGGAGGCAGAGATCGGTTGATCTAAACTTTGATTTATGAAAGAAAAAAATTCATCAAAATTCACCGACACACCCTATTATCCGCTGGTTATTTAAAATACTACTAAAGAAGATAGGATACTAGAGGATGATGAGAGTTCGGGAGCGGAGGAAGGAGAAAAAGAAGTCTGTCTGATCCCCCATGTTTTCCCACGTCTCCTCCACGTTGCAGGGAGGCTCAGCGCTGCCACCTGGCGGCGGCTTCTTCCCAGGTTGGGAGCTGGACGGCCACAGAGCAAACTCTGGCTCCCCCTGGGTGTGCCTGGACTGGGCCTTTTGAAATGGAGCAGAAGCTCCAATTCATGCTTCTAATCTACACAGCTCAGACAAACACTCGTTTTCAGAAAATTGAGAGGAAAAAAAAATGAGTTGGCATTGGTATGAAGTGCTTATTTAAACTTATCAGGTGCTAGTGGTTGGTTAGAAGGGTAGAGAAAAAAGTAAAAAATATTAGAATGTGGGGTTCTTCTTAGTTTATTCTAAGAGTAAAAATATATCATGGATTTAATTTTACTCTAAAATGCTATTTTGATATTATGTAAAGAAGAAATACTTCCATCTTACTTTTATTGTTTTCCAATGCAACCCACCAAAAGGAAGTCCAGTTTAAATATACTTCCTCAGCCCAAAAGGATGAAGTGTAAGTTATGTTTGAGAAATCAGCCTCAAATGGAGGGTTCTTTTCCAGAAAATTTTGAACAGAAAAGCCTGGGGCCTTTCAGTTGACAAAGGCCAATGACATCAAATTTCTCAGGGCTTCTTCCCTGTCTGCTAAAGTAACAGAGGTTTTTTTTTTTCCTTCTTTATTTTTATTTGAACTGAATACTCGTCAGGTCAGCCTAGCTCTTACAATCATAGTTTCTATAACCAAGACAAGGCAAAACCTTGCAAACCAGTGCAAATCCAGATTTGTTAAACTAATTTCCCTTCAGTTTTTTTCCCTCTCTATGCTATAGGAATATATTGAGCAGTGGGATAGAATCTTATTTCCATTTATACCCTATACAATTTTATGGATGTGAGATTTTATGTTGCATAGGTGTGTAAGAGCAGAAGAAATAAATTAGCAGATCTCAAATAGAATTCCATTATTTAATAGAAAATAAAATATTTTGATTAATTCAAAATTTGAAGTGTCTAACATCACTGCTGACAAAGACAATTAGTCTGTTATTCTAAAACAGAAAAGATTTTTGCAGAATTATCTTGGGTTTACTGTTAAAATGACTTAAAGAATTGCTTTATTAAGAATTACTTCCTGTACTGCAAAGCCAGCAGAGGGAACACTGAGTACTGATTTAGTAGGGGCCACCAAATAACTAGTATTTGAAGAAAAAAATGTCAGTAATGGAGAACTGGTTATAAAGTACATAAAGTTAAGTAATGAGAACACAGAAATCTTTCTCATCATTTGCTATTCAGAGGCCTAACACATTCCAGCATGCATATACTTACTCAGTAGGTGAGAAAGACAATTTTAATAAAAGGCTGTATGTCACATGCTTTCTTACATTTTAAAACAACTACTAACATAAGAACAAACCTACTTCAGAAGTCTAAGCATTCATATATACTATGATAATCTTATAAAGTCAATGGAAATTAGTAATACTATATTTCTTCAATCCTAAGAACTTTTTCATTTTCAACATCTCTGAAATAGGGCTATGTCCTACAACTGGGGGATGCCATGGTTTAATCAGCAGTTTTTCTTCCTTAGTGGCATGTAACAATGGTGTTCCTTAAAATCTGTTGGATTTGTTGCAACACAGAAAATACATTGAACAGTAGAAATAGCCCAGTGGCTATTTTTTTTGGTACATACTTTTTAAAAACATGTGTGCTTTAAGCATAAACAAAATTACTATGACTGCTTTAACTTTCACTTTTCATATTCAGTAGTAGAGCATAAATGTCTTTAGAAATATAATCAACTCACTCACCTTAACTGAATTGTTGCAAAATAGCTACACTCCCAAATAACTTTTTGGTACAAATTTTAAAATAAATATAGTATTTATAATTGTTCACTTTAGTTACAATATTGATTTTACAAAAACAAACTTCTTAATTTTAATGTCAGATTGGTAATATTTAGGGCTGTGCTTTGGGTGTGCATACCAAAAAAATAATAAAAATGTATGATATCACACCCAACTTTGTTATACGCCAAAAAAAGTGCCTGTGATGTTTTTGTTTGTTTTTAAGATTTGTTTCCCTTTCTAAAAGAAATCAGCATATAACTTGGGTAGCTAATGGTCAAATATTTTTTGCTTTTACCCACAAAAACATTCTTGCTTGTGGTTAATCCTTAGAGATCCACTCAGATGTCTCCAAAGGGTGTTCTTTCCAGTAAAATTCTAAATCTGACAACCTGGGCCTCTTGCCAGCCTACATACTTTAAAAGTTTGACAAGATAAATAGAAATCTGCTGCCTAGCACTAGTTTGATCTGAATCGAAAGCTGACTTAATTATGTTAGGTTGGCCCTCCTTAACCACCTACCACTGGCCTACAGAAAAACAGTTTACTATTATGGTATTAGGAAAGACCAATTTTTTACTAGAATTCTAATTTTCACACCTTGGAACAAAGGTAATTTTTTGCAGTCCCATCAACATGTGTCCTAAGTAGGTACCTTTTCTTTGCCACATTATTCACAATGGTCTTCACAGAATTCCTTTCTTTTAAAATCATTGGAACTATACAGTTGCCACTATTGTCCTCGGGTGGTTCACATCCACAATGTGATTATTTTTTTCACATCAGTGGCCATCTTTAATTCTAGTCTCTTGAACAATAGGATGCTTCTACTTGGAGTGTCTCAAGCACTTGAATTATCAAGGGAAGGATAACAGCATCCACTGAGGGTTTACTATATATCAAAGTCATTGAACCCTTACAACAACCCCATATAAAGTAGCTCCTAGTGTTCCTGAATCCGAGGAGGAAAACTGAGACTTGGTCACATCCCCAGGGTTACAAAACCAGTAAGAAGGACCAGGTCTAATATAAATCCAGAGGCTCCATTCTCTTCTGCTACTAGTTACCACCTTCTACAGTTTCTCTTTGCCTTGGCCTTTCAGTTCCATTTGTGGAGGGATATATAGAAATTAATACATACGTGAAAGGAGAAGGTTTTCAAGGGGACGGGGAAAAGGACAGAGTGTGAAGTAATCTTTCATTTTGATAATGTGGAAAACAGGTATTTAGAAAAGTACACAACTGATTCTCGTCCTTGACTCACCATTATTGTCCGACACAAAACTATGGAAATTCTCCCATTGAATTAATTATGGAACATTGCCTAACATGTTCCAACAGAGAGCTCCTCTGTTTGGGTTATCTAGGATTTATAGGGGAGTTTAAATCATTTTTAAAAACCCTGTTTGGTTAAGAAAGCAAGTAATTATTGCAAAATGTCCTCTTTTCTGCCTTCCACAAAAATTGCTCTGAAGGGATTTACACAATACATCAACATCTGTGCTGTACCTAGAGTTGTTAAAATAATTGTGATGACAGGTGTCTAGGTACCACTTTCTTAATGGTTTTCAATATCCATTGATTTATTGTTGTAGTTTTCCTTTCCCCTTTTTTATGTCGTTGGCTTTATGAAGGAACCAAGGAACAGATTTTGCACTAGAGACTGAGTCTTTATTCCAATGCTGAAAAGAACTAATACAAATAATCACTTGGCTTTTAAGCAGAAAGCTTCCATTTACAGTATTTCACCCTCCCCCCATAAGCCCCTTGTTACCTAACATAATGGTTAGAGTACATTTCCGTCTCTCCCCTTAATAATTTCATGCATTAACATCCTTTTCTCACGCGCGCACGAGAGAACGAGCGCGCGCGCGCACACACACACATACACACACACACACACACACACACACACAGCAAAAGGAAAAAAGAGGCAGCAGAAATCTCAGCTGTACTTCTAGCCCTTTTAAAAAGTTTGCTCTCTAAATTGGAATGAGGTCAGATTTGGAGCTTCTCATTGCACGCGGAGATTATTATTGCATCGGGTTCCAAGCCAATGGGAAGCTCGGGGGAGGGGCTTGGCACGAGGAAGCGTTAGTTACAGCGGCTGATTGGCTGCGGCCAAGACTGTGAAAGGA